GACACAGAAGCTGGCAGCAGTGGCAGACAACTAAGTGCATTTACATTACATAGAAAAAATAAATAAAAAAAAAGCATACCCTTATCCCTAACCCAGCTATGCTTTTCCCTATCTTATGAACAGCAGCTACACTTTCCCTCCTCTTACTAAGCATGCAGCTTGAGAATGAATCTAAAATGGATGCTGTCCAGTAGGTGGAGGGTCTGCTAGGGAGGCTGTGCTGCTAATTGGCTGGAATGTATCTGCTGACTGTGAGGTACAGGGTCAAAGTTTACTCAATGATGACGAATAGGGGGCGGGTCGAACTCCAAGATATGTACCGCCGTATTAACGTAACATGCTATACCGCTGTGAACCGCCGGCCGCAACCGCTCGCACACACATCACTACTTGTGCATTCTTCTTGACGTCATTAACTTATCAACATTGCCCTTTACCCGCCATTGAGTTCAGTCCCCCAGTCTATCTAAATCCCTCTGCAGCAAAGTAATATCTTGCTCACATTGTATTGTTTTACAAAGTTTTGTGTCATCTGCAAACACTGAAACATGACTTTCAATGCTGTCTTCAAGATCATTTATAAACATGTTAAATAGAAGGGGTCCCAGAACAGACCCCTGAGGGACACCACTTGCCACCTCTGTCCAGCTTGAAAATTTACCATTAATGACAACTCTTTGTACTCTGTTTTTAAGCCAATGTTCTACCCAAGAACAAGCATTTTCATCTAGACCGATTTCCTTGAGTTTGAACACTAATCTATTGTGCGGAACTGTATCAAATGCCTTGGCAAAATCCAAATAGATCACATCCACTGCAACACCCTGATCTATACTTCTACTTACTTCTTCGTAGAACGCAATCAAGTTAGTTTGACATGACCTGTGCTTCATAAAATGCTGATTTTTGCTGATAACCATGTTCTTCTAAGGAATTCTTGAATATTATCCCTTAATAACCTTTCAAATATTTTCCCAGCCACAGAAGTTAAGCTCACAGGTCTATAATTTCCAGCAAGGATTTTGAACCCTTTTTGAATATAGGAACCACATCTGCCTTCCTCCAATCCTCCGGAACACTTCCTGAAAGAAAAGAATCTTGAAAGATTAAAAACAGAGGTTCACTTATTTCTGCACTTAGTTCCTTAAGTACACGTGGATGGATACCGTCAGGCCCTGGAGCTTTGTTTATATTAACTTTCTTTAGTTGCTGCAGCACCTTGTCTTGAGTTAACCAATTACAATTATTCTGCAAGTTTTTAGTAGCAATCATTTGCACATCTATTGCCATGGGTTCTTCCTTAATATATACGGAGGAGAAATAGTTATTTAAAATTCCTGCCTTTTCCTGGTCTTCATTAATTAACACCCCGTTTCAGTTTTTAGTGTACCTACACTTTCATTTTGTTTTTTTTTAGAATTTATGTACTTAAAAAATGCTTTGGGGTTGGTTTTGCTCTCTTCAGCTATCATTATTTCATTTTGAAGTTTAGCAAGTCTAATTGCCTTTTTGCACGCATTATTTGCATCCTTATATCTTTTATAAGATGCATCTGATTTGTCCGATTTAAATGCTTTAAATGCCCTTCTCTTAGTTGTAATCTCTTGTTTTACTTCTCTACTAAGCCACATTGGTTTTAATTTGTTTCTTTTATATTTATTTCCCAACGGTACATACTGAGAAATGTACCTTTGTAATATTTGTTGGAAGATGATCCATTTATCCTCAGTGTTCTTTTCACTAAAGAGTTTATGCCAGTCAATATATTGTAAAGCTTCCCTTAACTTATTGAAATTGGCCTTTTTAAAATTATATGTTTTAGTATTCCCCATGTGCTTTTGTTTTTTTGAGTATATTTCAAAGGACACTATATTGTGATCACTATTTCCCAAGTGCTCACCTACTTGAATGTTGGTCAAAAGATCAACGTTTTTGTTAAAACCAGGTCCCGACAAGCATCCATTCTAGTTGGTGCTTGTACAAGTTGTGACATGAAGGTGTCATTTAACAAGTTTAAAAACCTAATTCCTTTTGCTGAGGCACTAGTCCCTCTGTCCCAATTTATATCCAGGTAATTAAAATCTCCAATAATTAAAGTGTTACCCAGATTTGCAGCTTTCTCAATTTGCTCAAACAGCTGTTGTTCCTCGTCAATATTAACATTAGGTGGTTTATAACATATCCCAACCAATAGTTGGTTTCCCTTCTTTTCCCCCAAGCAGATATTTACCCATAAAGCTTCCACATTATCCTCCTCGCATTCCATTTGCTTAACATTTGGCTTTAAATCATGTTTGACATACAAACATACCCCACCACCCTTCTTGTTTTTCCTATCCTTCCTAAATAACGTGTACCCATTTAAGTTAGCTGCCCAGTCATGTGTCTCATCCCACCATGTTTCAGTTATGCCTATTATATCATATTGTTTAGTGTATGCTGATGCCTCTAGTTCCCCCATTTTGTTATTTAGGCTCCTTGCATTAGTAAGCATACATTTATTATGCATCACTTGTATATTTTGTGAATTTTCAACATTACACAGCTTCTCTGTTCTGAGCTTGCCCCTCCCCCCGTTTCCACCCCCCTTATACTGTGCTAAAGCCCATCTCCTTTCTGTCCTATCTCCATTTTGTAGATTGCTATGACCCTCCCCCCCTACTACTAGTTTAAAATCTCCTCCAACCTTCTAGCCATCCTATCCCCCAGCACTGCAGACCCTCTCCCGTTTAGGTGCAATCCATCACCACTATAAAGGTTGTACCCAATCGCAAAGTCGGCCCAGTGCTCTAAAAACCCCAAACCCTCCTTCCTGCACCAAGACTTAAGCCACGCATTGACCTCTCTAATCTCCCGCTGCCTTTCCACTGTAGCGCGTGGCACAGGTAATATCTCAGAGAATACCACCTTGGAGGTCCTTTTCTTAAGTTTGCTACCTAATTCCCTGAAATCATTCTTTAGGACCTTCCATCTTCCTCTTACTTTGTCATTGGTACCAACATGGACCATGACCGCTGGGTCATCCCCAGCCCCTCCCAATAATCCATCCACTCTGTCAGCAACATGCCGGACCCGAGCACCCGGGAGACAGCAAACTGTCCGGTTGAGCCGATCAGAGCGGCAGATTGCCCTATCTGCTCTCCTAATGATAGAGTCCCCTACCACCACAACCTGTCTTGCCTTCCTTACATTTTGATCCCCACCCGTACTAGGGGGGCTGTTAGCTCGGCTGTTAGAAGTAACAGCTTCCTCTAATACAGCTACTCCTGAGCTGATGCTCCCAACATCTTCCCTCAAACGGGCAAATCTGCTAGGTTGCACCAAATCAGGACTAGCTAGCCCTTTCCTCTTCCCTCCCCCCCTGCTTCCTCGCCCCACTGTCACCCAGCTACATGCCTGTTCCCCATCTGTCTTATCTCCTCCCTCTCCACTAAACTCTGCTCAGTTAGCAGTAGACTCCTCTCAAGATTGTCAATCTCCCTCAATGTTGCGATTTGCTTCTCGAGATCTCCAATCTGAGCTTCCAGAGAAGCCACTCGCACACAACCATCACAGAGGTATGGACCCTGGACGGGTACATCCAGGCAGCCATACATGCAACAAGATGTGCATTGAGTTAAACCAGCAATCTTGCTAACACTCATTTCCCCTTTAAACAATAAATAAAATAATTACCTTGATAGTTTAAACCCCTTGCTTGTTTGAACTCCTGGTTTTCTAACTCCTACTTGAAAGAGTCTACTTAATAGAGGCTGCTTTCAAACAATGTGAAAGCAGCCTCTATTATATATGTTTAGTATATTATAAAATGCTTTAAATATATTATGCATATACAGGCAGTATGTGATACAAAGAGTATATATATTCTAAGAGACAGGACAACAAATAAAAACTAACTTTAGCCAGCATTTGTGACTAAGTGGCTACTACAAGAGACTGGACATACCCCATTTTTAATACCGTGGGTTGCCTTACAAAATGGTATGCTGGGGTTTATTTTCATTTCTGGACATTACTGTCTCAAAGGCAACCGAGGCCCAGCAAACCTGTCTGGCAAATTTCAGTGTGCAAACATTGAAAAGTACTACCTAAAAGTTTAACAAAGACTGGTGGTAGAATTAGTGCATGGAAAGTGTTAAAATACCACCATTTGCTACACCCTAGGGCAGGCATAGGCAACCTTTGGCACTCCAGATGTATTCGGTGTAAGCATTATGGGAGATTTAGTCCAAAACATTGAGTGCCAAAGGTTGCCTATACCTGCCCTAGAGTGTCATTTATAAAAAAAAAAAAAAAAATTTGATGAGGGTAAACTACATTGGCAGGCTTCAAAAATGTCCCAAGTAGGACATGGGTACATGACCAGCTGTGAAAATTCCAAGTTGGAAAACTGGAATGCGATAAGGTCTTATAGCCCCCAAAGAACACAACACTCAGGAGATGTTGCTTAACACATAGGGGTGTTCTTTGGCAGTAACCCTTAAAGTTCTCCATACATGTATTCTTTAATTGCCATGTGTGTCAAAAAAAAAAAAATGTGTTTTACACTTTTAGGGGGCCAAGCCACCTAAATGGTGGTTTTAGTACTAAGTAAGGAATACAAGTTTGTGTTCCTGACCCTATGGTGATCCTCTAACATTGGGCTTTTCTATACTGAGGAAAACATTTAGAAACTATTTAGCATGAGTATTTGGCAGTTGCGTAACAGATTTTGGGGTTTAAAGTTTGAGAGGTTTTTTTACATTTCTGCATATTTTATATATAAAAAATAATAAATGTTGAAAAAAATTGGTATCTTTAGAAAGACCATTTAATGGCAAGAAAAACTGTGTGGGTACAGTAAATGAGTAAAAGGAAAATTTACAGCTAAACAAATAGAAGAAATTAAAAACAGCCCTCGTCCCAAATGGTAAGAAAATTGAAGTGGTCTGGTCCACTTCAAGCGTCAAGTGGTAAGCGTCCGAACCAGATGCCCATTGGTCACCATTCAGGATTATTTGAAACAGTCAAAACCTTAATTTGTTGAACGAAAATTGAATAGCAGATTTTGAAATTTTGCTTCATTCAGACTTTAATGACTAAATTATTTTTCTGAAATGTGTTTTGCAATTTTCCATTCAGATTAAGACTAATGGAATTGCACCAAAGTAAAATAATGTCCATATTTCATCTGAAAATGAATTTATGAACACAAGTTTGTTTGAATGTTCTGAATATTTGGACTAAAAAAAAAAAAAATTTCATCAGCACCCAAGTCTACATTTCTCATGTGACTCCAACCCATTTTACTCCAGTCTGTCAGTGAATATACAACAGCAAGCTGTTGAAAAGCAAACATAGGGAGCGTTGCTCAAAGAAACTTAGTAATCTATTCATCATTTGAAATGTAACTGCTAAAAAATAAATTCATTTAATCTTAGACGTGCAAAATATTCCCAGATATTTGGAATTGTTAGTTTCCTCCTCCTACCATTCTTATAATTAAGTTATTTTGTGTTATATACACAGTGAAAGAATGAAATACTGGAAAATCTGACCCTCAGAAGTGCTAAAGTTTCCTCATACACAGGATTCGACATAAATAGTCTGTTAAGCAAATGCAAGCACACGAAAATAATTCTTAGGAGTTATTTTATTCAGAACATGTTTAATACAATCGTTGTGGTTTCCCCATAGTGCTTTTGATGTACAGAGCCCTCACATTCTGCCAGTTCTTCTTCAGAAGTGATACCAAGAAATTGATAGATAGGTGGATGTTGTATACAAGTTCTTCCTCTGTCATTTTTACATGTCCAACTGCAACAGCCAAACATAACACCTGTGGAAAGGTAGTAAAGACAATTTAATTCTTGTGTACAATACGCATAATTAGAGATGTTAAGGGAAGGGCAGCTGCGTGTTCACCCAATAGCAGCATCAGACCTATTCTGTTGCCATTTTGTTAAGGATGCTTGACTACAATTGCCAATTATTTCACAGTGACAGGGTGTGTTATGATGGATGTAGTGGCTGTTACCTGCCATTTTTGGGCTGTTACTTCAGCTTTGGGCATGTAAGCATTTGAAAGCGCATAATGCCATAAGGAAATTTAAAAAACAAAATTGCATCTTGGAATATTATATATATGTATATTTTTTTTTTTTTTTTTTTAAATAAAACTGTTGAAAGCCAGTGCAGCATTCAAAAGAGAAAAAAATAAAAATATATACAAGTTTTAAAAAGAGCTACCACAACTCCCTTCACGGATACAGATATCTACAGCGACTTATCAGCCATTACAGATTTGAAGCACACAAGGAACCCTCAAAAAAGACAATTATAATACATATAATGTAAACTTAGTCACTCTTTGGATTACTAAGCCAGTTAAGCAGGTTTTTAAGCATTGTTAGAGTACGTGTACATTACTACACTGTACTGCACAAGGTTTCATTTATTAAGTGGGGGAGGTGTTAACTTGCCTTTTTCATTTGGAACTTTATTGTTGACTTCACCTCATCAACCTTAGCCACCATATTCTCATTGTGAGTAAGCAGTGAAGGGAACTTGCCAGCCTTGTTCAGCCCAGGTCCAAGAATACGGGGAATCTGCTTAATGAGAGATTCTGAGGCCAGGAATGCATCAAACTTTTTGGCTAAAAGATCACCCCAAAAAAAAAAAAAGTCAGCAAGACTACACATAGCAAAAATCTCACACTCAACCATCTCTTAGCATAAACTTACCAAAATAATGCATAGTTTGCATAAAAAGGACACCTCAGTCAACTGAAACATGACTACATACTCACCAAGCTTTTTCACAAGTTTTTTATTCTTGTTCAGTTTCTTTAAAGCCTCAATATCCATATGAGGTAAATCCACAGCCTTTGCTTCATCACAATGCTGCTGATCTCCCAGCACACACACTGAGAATTTAGGGCGTGGTGTTGACTTCAGCCTATGGGTGCAAAAAGAAGTGTAAGCCATAAAATCTATGGACTTTACTAGATGTGTTGCAAAAATTACAAACCTTTAAAACTTGTGACTTGTACTAATTGGTCGGTGGGTTTGAGAAAAAAAAAACAAACCACACCTTCCCTCATGTTTTAAGACCCAGGGTAGGGGTCCGTCCAGATCACCTTAACAAAAATGTTATCTGAACTACCCAAATTGCTTGCCACTGCTGTTTGCGAGAAGAAAAAGCAAGGCAAAGGTTGGGTGATAAGAAATTCCCGACCTGACTGTGCCAGAGAAACGCTTGTCCTTTTGGGGATCGTAGTTTTTCAAGCTGATCTGAAGCTCCACACTCTCAAGGAACCTAAAAAAAAAAAAAAAAATGAAGTTAATTATACTGGTTCGTAAACAGATTCAAATAATTAAAGAGAACTACATAACAGTTGTGAATGGGGGGTAGAAATAAATGCATATTGCGATTGCCTCAGGCTTTTTGAATCTTATCACAGACCAGCAACAAGAAGTCTATATCTCAGCAATATACAAGGTAGACTACACACTCCACCTTTGAATACAATGCTTCTAACAAAGCAGCGATTAGAAATCACATAAGGAATCACTGCACTGGATATATTTAGTGTCATGTGCAAATTGACACCCAATATAAAGACCTTGGAAAATTGAAGGTCTTGAAGTGGATCAGGTATATACAAGTTTTGTAAATATCCCTGAAGGTGACACCACATGTTAGGTACTGGTGGGCATGGGATGCAGCACAAGCTGGTTTTACTTACATGAAGATGTCCCTCGTGGCCACTGACATCTTCTAGATCTTCAGGAGCAGCAGAGAGTACAACAGTGAAGTCCTATGGATGATCGCACAAGAACCCCTACCATATCTCTTGTGATAAGAGACCATGTCTGAATCACACAGCTGTCTCTTAACAGCTGCTGGGATAGGATAAAAAAAAGTTGACAGTGCCTGGAGCTCCCCAACACTGTCCTTCCATTTAGTATTGAGCCCTACCGAAGGTGTGGCTAAGGCAGCAATTACACATGTTCTTGTAGGAATACTGATTCTTCCTTGCAATGGCACTGACATGCTCAATGGAAGGACAGCACCAGGGTACTCCAGACACCAAGCACTAACAGCGTCCATTTACACGTCTCGGGAAAACTTGGCCAATACCTATTACAGTTACACATTAAAGTGGCACTGTCACACTGAACTGACCATTCTCCCGTTTCTTCTGCTCACATGCAGAATGTTCTTTTCTTTATTTCTGATTTACTTTACGTTTAAACCATAAGAGTAGTAACTGATGCTTGAGGTCCTCACACTCTGCATGAGGACAGCGCATCAGCACATTAGCACCTGCCCCTCAAGGGACTTTGGAGGAGGCGGTGCTGCGACCAGGTAAATAAACAAAGGATTTTACAATTTTTATCACAATGGAGGGCAAAGGGAGTGATAGTGCAAGGAATAAAGCTTTGTATTCCTGACACTATAGTATCCCTTCAAGCTCCTACTTGGGTCAACGCGCAAGAAAAAAAAAAATAGATCAGAAATAAAGAGAACAGATTCTGAGAGGGGAAGTAAGAGGAAACAATAGGAGATAGGCAAATTCGGTGTGACAGTGCCGCTTTAAAGGACCACTCCAGGCACCTAGACCACTTCAGCTTAATGAAGTGGTCTGGGTGCCAGGTCCAACTAGGATTAACCCTTTTTTTATAAACAGCAGTTTCAGAGAAACTGCTATGTTTACAAATGGGTTAATCCTTCCTCCAATTCCTCTAGAGGCGCTTGCGTGATTCTCACTGTGAAAAATCAAAGTGAGCGCACGCAAGCGTCCATAGTAAAGCATTGTAAATGCTTTCCTATGCGACCGGCTGAATCCGCGCGCAGCTCTTGCCGCGCGTTGGCATTCAGCCGAATGGGAGGAACGGAGGAGGAGAGCTCCCCGCCCAGCGCTGGAAAAAGGTAAGTTTTAACCCCTTTCCTCTCCCCAGAGCCGGGCGGGAGTGAGACCCTGAGGGTGGGGGCACACTCAGGGCACTATAGTGGTCCTTTAACAAGACTTTTGATGGAGACACTACATAGGCTCAAATTGTGCTCTTTACAGCATATTGAAACACTGCAAAAAAGCAAGAGCGTTGCATTCCATAAAAATAAGAACTGCTACACATTACCCTAGTTTAGGCATAGGCAACCATCGGCACTCCAGATGTTTTGGACTGCACCTCTCATGATGCTTTGCCAGCATTATAGGTGTAAAGAGCATGTAGTCCACAACATCTGGAGTGCCGAAGGTTGCCTAGTTAGAACCACTATTGTACAAGTTTAAGCATTCATGTGATTTCTTTGATTATGCTGCCACTAAAAGGGACACTGCCATTACTGTGCTCTGACTTTGTATTCATCAGATTCATTTGTTTTTATTGACACCACGTTGAATTCGAACATGACATTACTGTGTTTTTACTTAAAGGGACACTGAACACCTGAATAACTCAGCCGGCTTTAGGTTCCTGGCACTTTCAAGATTTTAACAGTCTTCTATGCGCAATTGTACATTTTAGGAGATGTCAACGATTTGTTTTACTCTACACAGTACTATGAAGTTAAATGTATAATGACAGGGTTTAACTAGAAATACATGAAATATCACACGAAGTATAAAATAATTGTTGCACTAGTCCTTACTTTCGTCTTTTTTTCTTTGATCCTTGAAGTAACTCTCTTACTGCCTCATAGAGTGTATCACGGGAAACTTTGCTGCTGCAAAGCAAAAAAAAATTTCAAAATAAAAAAACAAAAAAACTGTTGCCATTGTGCCTTATACTTCAGTGTACTTTACGTGGTCAGGTTATCTATTCATTAACATTCTTTCAAAGTTATACTACAACAAAAAAAGTACACAAATTAAGAGAAATTGTGACAAATGTGTTAAAAACCCAGCCAGCATATAACAATTAAAATGGTTTAGGCTTACCAGAAGTATTTTCTGTATTAATTAAAACTTTTTTTAAATTAGGGTGTGTGTCCTTTTAAATTTAGTCATTTCCTATTTTAGCTTAAACGCTGTTCAGCTAGTTTCTTATTTGGCAACAGGCATTAATATTATCCCCTTAAAGCGGCACTGTCATGCCGAATTCTGTTTTTTTTTTAACCCCCCTCCCGCCTCCACTACATCCAATTGACCCACTAGTCACCCCCAAATGCCCCTAAGCCCCCACATTACCTATTTTTAAATCCTTATTTTCTGCCCCGATCTATATTC